AACGAACTGCGGCTCGTCATGCAACGTTTTATTGCTAAATCTGATTTATAATAAAGTCCCGCTTTGTTTCTGTTGACCAGTTTCTGATTGAGTCGGTTTGTTTCCTCATTTCTAGCTGAACCAGAACAGCAGGATGAGGCTTTATTAGGGCAGCATCTTTCAGCAACAGGAAGTTCAAAATGTCAGCAAGATAAAAACAGAAAGTATGAAAACTGAAAGCAACAAGTATCACATTTTTAAACCATCATCTGAAACCATATTTAAATGTTGGAATTAATCAAAGTTATTATTATAACGTTAAATCTAAAGGTCTGATAATCTGGGGTCTGGTCATAAAACCACCAGATTATTAATCTCAGTAAATTAGAATATAGCAAGTAATTTAACTAATGAGTCTCTTTAAAAGCATCATTTGAAAATGTCAAATATTAAATATACTTTCCCTTAACGTCACATTTCTGTTTCTAAAAGGTTTTTGTTCATCTGATATTTTGTGTAAAATCATCATAACTAACAAACAAAAGTATTTCATCTCTATAATGTTTCACTGACTGGATCTGGACTTTTTAACCAACTGATTCTATTGAGTGAATCTGAACAGTGAAGTGGTTGGAAAACAACGTCAGAGTGAGACCTCTGTGTTTCTCCTATCTCTGGAGACTCTTCTGTTTCCTCTCATCTGATCTGCAGATCAACCTGCAGCTGCAGCTTAAAGGAGACAAAAGCATTTCATGTTTCCTCCTCACTTCAAATGTTTCATATTTACACTGAAAAAAGAATTAAAAATAGTTCATCTTTTTCAACAAATCTGATTCAATTCCTCAAAATTAATTTACGATGAAAACTTCATAAACTTCATATATTATTTGGATAAACTTTATTTGATCACTTACAACAAATTAACTATTTTTTAATCAGCTGTTTTCTTTTTTCAGTGCATATTCCTGATTAACTGAATGCAACTTTTGAAGTTTTATTCAAAAAGTTATATTTTGAGTAAAAATGTAAATATTTGACTTGTATTGACTTCAAAAACTGATATAACTGATATAGATTTATTGGATTTACTGTTAGATTGTGACGTTTATAACATCAAAACTCCACAAAAATGCAAAATGTATTTAAACACTAAGATGAAAAGAACAAAGCAACACAAAGAGTTTTAATCAGTCAAGAAGGAGAATATGGAAGTTTATCAAATAATCTGTTGAGGATTTTATTCATAAAATAAATTATTTGTAGCTGCTGCAGCGTAAATGTGGACGTCGTGATTATATTCACAATTTAAAAATTCTAATATCCCATTAGAAAGAAATGATTTCAATTATTAATGGATGCTTTGAAAACCGCAGCAGGAGTTCAGAGCTTCAGATCCGGAGACAAAATGAGGCAGCAGAACCGTCAGATCCAGTTCTGCTGCTGCTGCAGCTGCAGCTGCAGCTGCGGCACATTTTAGCTGCGGCAGCTTCGATTGATGCTCACTGTAAAGATTTATGTGACGATAATGTTAAGATTCCCGATTTAACACAAAAACGTACATTTATCATATTTGTAAGATGTGGAGATAATTTTGAAGTGCAGGTGAGAGAAGCAGCTGCAGGCCCGTCCCTCTCTGTCCCTCTCTGTCCCTCACTGTCCCTCTCTGTCCCTCACCGTCCCTTGCTGTCCCTCACCGTCCCTCTCTGTCCCTCACCGTCCCTCTCTGTCCCTCACCGTCCCTTGCTGTCCCTCACCGTCCCTCACCGTCCCTCTCTGTCCCTCACCGTCCCTCACCGTCCCTCGCTGCTTCTCTCAACTATCTTCATCCTTTCATAACCTTCTCCTCCTCCTCGCTGCTCGGCTCTGACTTCCTCCCACTCACTGCAGAGAAGAACCAAAAACCAAGATCAAAATTAAACATTTAACAAGAGTCATTTTTCAGATACGGACAAATTTTCTTCAAAACAAGGAAAAATGAATCTCCTGGAATCAGAACCAGGACGTAACCATGGCGACGGCAAGCTGGACCAAAGCTAACAGCTTTAGCCGTTTCACCGCTAACCGTTTTAGAAAACCAGAGAGCATCTTTGCTATGAATTCATTCAACAAAACAGTTAAATATTCACTAAAAATAAAACTTTGTCATGTGTTTAGATGAAGACGTTTGTTTGGTTGATGTTCGTTTCATCAGCTGCTGACCTGCTGACCTGCTGACCTGCAGAGGTCACAGAACCACTTTGACTCTGCTGCAGATTAAATGGACAGAATGGAGGCGGATCTGATTTCATGACTGGATGAATCACAACCCTTTTATAGACGATTCACAACTTTTAGGCTCCCAATTGAAGCTTATTTCAGATTCTTAAAGTTAAATCCTGCAGGTTCTTCACACGCAGAGGCTGGACGTGGAAACGCGACGGTCACGTGATTTTCTGCCTCCTATTTCTGTCCTTGGAGTTTTAATGTCATTGTTAGTTTCTGCAGTGAGAAACTCGGCTGCTCTCTGTCCTCCCCCTCACATATTCATATCAGCAGAACTTAAGAATGTATAATTAGTTGGAGCGATTAGTGGGAAGATGGGATGTGATGCTGTGATTTCACACAGTAAGAGCATAAAGTGTTTATGTATTATAATATGTGGGCCGTGTGCAGGAGATTCTCCCTTCAGCAAATATATTTATGGACACATTTATCCTTCATATCGATGAGGCGATTAACACAAGCAGAGCCCAGATCCACTGGAGGATAAATGTGAAGCAAAACTTTTAAAAACTCCAGGTTGTGTGTGATTGATTTGTCCTCCAGCTGGTTGTCAGACTCACCCTGCACTGACTGCAGAGGCCCGGATCGGCCATGTTGGTCCGTTCCTACCCTCTGAACCGGGGCCTGCGTGAGGCTGCAAGGCCGCAAGGCCGCAAGGCCGCAAGGCTGCAAGGCCGCAAGGCCGCAAGGCTGCAAGGCCGCAAGGCCGCAAGGCTGCAAGGCCGCAAGGCCGCAAGGCTGCAAGGCCACAAGGCCGCAAGGCCGCAAAGCTGCAAGGCCGCAAGGCTGCAAGGCCGCAAGGCTGCAGGGCCGCAAGGCCGCAAGGCCGCAAGGCTGCAAGGCTGCAAGGCTGCAGGGCTGCAAGGCCGCAAGGCTGCAAGGCCGCAAGGCTGCAAGGCCGCAAGGCTGCAAGGCTGCAGGGCCGCAAGGCTGCAGGGCCGCAAGGCTGCAGGGCCGCAAGGCTGCAAGGCCGCAAGGCTGCAAGGCCACAAGGCTGCAAGGCCGCAAGGCTGCAAGGCCGCAAGGCCGCAAGGCCGCAAGGCTGCAAGGCCACAAGGCTGCAAGGCTGCAAGGCTGCAGGGCTGCAAGGCTGCAAGGCCACAAGGCTGCAAGGCCGCAAGGCTGCAAGGCCGCAAGGCTGCAGGGCTGCAAGGCCTTAAGGCCTCAAGGCTGCAAGGCCACAAGGCTGCAAGGCCACAAGGCTGCAAGGCTGCAAGGCTGCAAGGCTGCAGGGCCGCAAGGCTGCAAGGCCGCAAGGCTGCAAGGCTGCAAGGCTGCAAGGCTGCAGGGCTGCAAGGCCGCAAGGCTGCAAGGCCGCAAGGCTGCAAGGCTGCAGGGCTGCAAGGCTGCAGGGCCGCAAGGCTGCAGGGCCGCAAGGCTGCAAGGCTGCAAGGCTGCAGGGCTGCAAGGCCGCAAGGCTGCAAGGCCGCAAGGCTGCAAGGCTGCAGGGCTGCAAGGCTGCAGGGCCGCAAGGCTGCAGGGCCGCAAGGCTGCAAGGCTGCAAGGCTGCAAGGCTGCAGGGCTGCAAGGCCGCAAGGCTGCAAGGCCGCAAGGCTGCAAGGCCGCAAGGCCGCAAGGCTGCAAGGCCGCAAGGCCGCAAGGCTGCAAGGCCACAAGGCCGCAAGGCTGCAAGGCCACAAGGCTGCAAGGCTGCAGGGCTGCAAGGCCACAAGGCCGCAAGGCCGCAAGGCTGCAGGGCCGCAAGGCCGCAAGGCTGCAAGGCTGCAAGGCTGCAGGGCCGCAAGGCTGCGGGGCTGCGGGGCTCCAACACAAAACATGCAGTGGACCGGAAGAACCTGCTGGGCCAGAATGTTTCTGACCCATTTAATGTCCAAACCGTTATTTTTTTTAAAAAGAATAAAAAATTCTTGGTGGTTTAAAATGTTTTTACTCATCTACTCTGAAAAGTGTGGCATGTATTTACCATCACCGTTTTTGACTCCAATCCTACATTATGGCAGCGTGTCAGAGCCAATAAAGACGGAGAACAAAGAAGAAACATTCTGACACGAAACTCAGAAATTTCCTAGAAAAACTTGGAAACTTCTAATTTTGAAAAGTCAAAAACCTGAAACTCTGAAATGTTTGTTCTTCACCATCCATCCATCCATCCATCCATCCATCCATCCATCATCCATCCATCCATCATCCATCCATCCATCCATCCATCCATCCATCCATCCATCCATCCATCCATCCATCCATCCATCCATCCATCCATCCATCCATCCATCCGATCTCAACAACAAAACTCTCATCTCATCCAGCAGCCATTGTACAGTGCGTACAGCAGTAAAACCAGCTGATCAAATGTGCTGGAGCTCTGTTTTGGTTGCTAGGTAACAGGATTGTGACTCAACAACAGAAAACTTATTGTCAAAAACCAACAGTGTTTTTTTTTAGTCCTTGTTTTAGAAAGGAGATGAAAACCCAAATGGAAGTAAAACATCAAAGTGAATTTTGCATATTAATTCCCTTTAAAAACTAAAACAGATGAACTGCTGCTGCAGGTTGTTGAGCTGTGCTGCCCTCTGGTGGAGAACAAGGGCAGCGCTGCTGAAATGACCCAACATGTCTTAACTTATCATTTCTGATAAAGATCTGCTGTGGGACACCCGCTGCCATTTTTAATTCATGTTTCACTGTTTATCTATAAATTATAGACATCAATCAGAGGAGATTACAGTGTTTTTATGATGTTTTATTTCCATAAATGATTGACATACATGACAGTTTAAAGAAATAAACTAAGTTTCAGATTAAGATCTAGTCAACAAACTCACTATTTAGCTTCTAACCAGATGTTTAGTTAGCCAGCTTGCTAACTAGTTTGGAGCTAAAAGATATGATGCAAATTAATTTTTAGGGAAGAAGAAATTTGGTTTATCAGTGAATATTCAGTTTAGAGCTACATCCTGATATTGTGACAAATATAGATGAATGAATAACATGGTGAAAATATGACTTTTGAACATGAATCTCATGACAGGATAAATAACTGAAGTTCATTTTTCACTGTAACTTTACAATCACAGTCTCTATTCACCATCCAGAGACTCCACCATACAATCAGAAAAGAGCAAAACAGCAAACAAAAACATGGATGAGAGGAGAATCCATTTCAGATGAAGGTTAAAGGTCATCCTCATCCCTCCTGGTGGAAGGTCGTTCCATCTGGTCTCTCCTTCCAGCTCAGTCTGACGTTTCCTTCTGCGCCGCCGTCCTTCAGCCTCTGCAAAAACTGGCACACAAACAACTGAGAGTCCTGGTCCAGTGTGTGTGTGTGTGTGTGTGTGTGTGTGTGTGTGTGTGTGTTGTACCTTCGTCAGCAGGTCTTCCAGCAGGGCGGCGTCGTTCAGGTCCACAGATGAAGACTTCGCCACCTTCAGCTTCACCAGCAGCTTGGAAACTGGACCCAGAACGTTTTGCTCTTTGTCTGATGATGAGCAGAGAAACTGAGTTCTGATAGTTTAGTTGAGGAAAGGAGAAGGAGGAGCCGCCTGTCAGCCGTCGAACCGCCACATCATTTATCTACCCGTGATTGTTGTGAAGGTTGTAAATGTGCCTCATAAATAAACTGATATTTTTTGTGTTTTATTAACTTTATACTCTGTATTTAAAAATAGTGCAACCTCTCTGCCTGTCCACACAAATGAATCTCCACGTTTAAATCCTAACAGGAAGTTGTGAAGGATGGTGATTAGGCCCAATGCTGCCCCCTATGGGTTCGGCATGTTTAAAGCAACCAACAGTGGTGCAATTCAGTGGCTTCATGGATGACATTTTTTCTTAAACCAATTAGGGATGAATGAGGTTACTTTATGGAAATCAATATTTCATTGCTTTAAAAAGACCCGGCCATGTTTGGACTAGGCCGTGTTTGGACTTGGCCGTGTTTGGACTAGGTCAGAATGAGTCCGAACTCACCTCCATAACAAAAGAATGGGAAGTTCCAGTCACAAGGACAGTCCTCCCACTTTCCAGAGTCATCAAAGTTTGCTATGGTGCATTTCTCTTCCTCGCTGTTCGGTTCGCCTGAACTCCAGTGAGTGAAGGCGGGGCTGGTTCCGTCCACCCAGGTCAAGGAGTTTCTGTTCAGCCCGATCCAGGCGTACTGACCCGGCGGCATCATCTCCCTTATCTTCTCGTTCTCTGACAGGTCTCTGGCGACGGCCATGTCTGTGTGATGGTTCCTGCAGTTGGCCAGAGCGTCGGCCCAGGGGAAGAACTGCTCCACCAGGACAAACGTCACATCCGGTCCTGAAACGGGAACCCAGAGAAAAATGAATCCGAAGAAGAAGAGCAGAACACGGAGAGTTCGGCGGACATGTTGGATCGGCACCGTTCACGTCGGCGCACACAGACTTCTCGTAGCTTCCACAGGACCAGTCGTTCCAGAACCCGTCGTCGTAGATCCTCACGCAGTCTTCAGGGCTCTGCCTGTTGTCCGGTTGTCCAAGCTGCCAGTTTCTGAAGTCGGAGTCTCCGGGGTTCTGAAACACGTTTGGGTCGGACAGCGACCAGCTCCAGCTGTTGGGGTCGTCCGACAGTCCGATCCAGGCTCGCTGCAGAGAACCAGACCCTCAGGTTGAGAAACCTCCTGAGAAACAAACGTCTTTATGACAAAAAACTGCAAAACGTTTCGGAACCGAGACGGGACGGATTCGCCTGGTACTGACGGACTTTTACTTCAGTCATGAATCAATTCTGTCTTAGAGATGAAAGTAATGAATTCAAGAGTTTTACATGCAGCTAATAAATGTTTCCTCCAGTAATTTAAGCTTTATTGTGTCGGATCCTAAACCAGGAAAAATGATGGAATTATAATGTTTCTAAAAGATTATTTAGTAAAGTCAAACAATCTATTTCTCAAAATTAAAAACTAAGTTATTTGGAAGTGAATCAAAGCGGATGGTGAAACTTGAGTTTTGAGGAGAAATTGTGTTTGTTTACATGCTTCACGACTCCGTTGACCATCTGCTTCAGGTCGATCATGTCCACCAGAGTCGTCACGTTCTCCACGCTGCTTAAGGTCACCAGGTCAACGAACTGCTCTCTGCAGTTCTGCAACTCGTTGACGTAATGAAACTGACGCTCAGCGAGAGACGAGGCGGCAAAAAGCGCTGCAGCACCAAAACACTGGTGAGCTTCTGGGACGTTTCATTTTTATAGTTTTAAACATGAAAAAATAATAGAAATATCATTTATTGCCCCTCTGTGAGATTACTAAGCTGAACCCAGCATGCAGATTCACATAAATGTAAAATATAAAACAAAAAGACACAGTAGAGGGGAACCTGAAGCAGAAAAAATCCTAAACAGTTAATAAAACAGTGCAGGACGATAAAAAATATATTCAGTAAGTTTTATTTAAGATATGCGGTAATTTAACTCTGTGGTCTTGAGTTAAAAAAGCAAAATATCTTGACTTGTAAACGGAAAATCAGACAATTATGTTGTGCAAACAACAAAAAGCTGCAATATTCTGTAGGATAAGAAACTAAAAAATGTTACATAAATGGACTTTAGATGTCTGTTAAACTTACCAGGAAGACAACAAATAAATGTCTTAATAAAAGAATAAAAACTGCAATGATTTGATGTCATGTTAACAATAAAAGGATTGTTTTGGAATAAAAGTTATTAATTTAGCAACAAGAGAGAGAAAACTTCCAGGTTTTGAAGATGATCTCATAAAACCTCCCATATTTTATGGCTCAGTTACAAAATGATTTGATTCCCATGAGACCAGGAGAAAACGAGAGCATGAAGCCTGAACTTGCCTGAAGCGGCTGTGAGGTACTGCAGAACCTCCATCCCGGTTCCTTTGGGTCAGAACAGCAGATCTGCAGCTGCTGGATTCACTTATCACCGCGGCGTCACGCGCATGCAAACGCAGACCAAACGTTTGCATCCGCAGCCTGATGCAGGCAGAGAAATCTGAACACAGATTCAAAGTGGCTTCATTTCCATGATTCTCAAATGACTGGTTTGCCTGAAGCTTTCGCCATAAATCAAAGTTCACCCAAAAACTGGAACCATTTCACCTCAACTGTCACCTGAACATTCAGTTTTACTCCTAAAAGCTCTGAGGTGTTTCATGATTGTTTGTCTAGTCAAATTATTTACTAGCTTGGTGGTTTATTCTTTGAAACCACAGAAACATTTTATTATAAAATCAGAGATTTTTAAATCGGAAAAATCATTTTAAATTATGGCTGGAATTTAACAAAGAGCCGCAGAAAAAAAGCAAAAGTTGCATCAATATGATCTATAAAATCTGCATCATTTGGATCAGTGAAGCAGAAAAAGACCCGTTTTCTGTTTGTGGTGTTTTATTGAAGCCTTCACAGATAGTTTCTACATCAAACTTCATATTTTAAATCACATCACAAATAAATGTCCTGTTTGTCTACATTAAAGAGGATTATCAGAAAACAGCAAACCATGTTAATAAGGAACAGACAATATTGTCATCAGACATGACTTCCTGTCTGACGCTCGTCACTCGTCCTGGTGGAAAATCCTCCCGTCTGATTGGTCGATCCATCTCACCTTTACCTCCCCTTCCACTCTGCTGTCCTCCTTCAGCTTCTCTTCAAACTGGCAAACAAAAAAAACATTTGATCAAAATCGTTTCCTGAAGTTCCTGAAAGCTGCTTCATATTTAGGCTGACTGGTGCAAACAGCACTTCTGGTTGTTGAACATTTTACACCGTCGAAACATTTAGGTCTGAGTTTGAAGCTCCGATGAGGCTAAAAGAGAATATCAGTGTGAATGAAGCAGCCTGCTGCAGCAGCCTGCTGCAGACCGTACCTGCTGCAGCAGGTTCGCCAGCACCGCCGGGTCTCCCAGGTCCAGAGAGGAAGACGTCACCAGCTTCACCTTCACCACCTGCTGTGAACCTGGAACTTTAACACAACAACAGCTCACTGTCAGTTAAAAAAGGAAAATAAATCATTTCTGAATCATTTCTGCGGATGCCACAGTCATTGATTTGGGTTTCATTGGTTCTTCAGTCATGGAGCCTCAGGGACGACAACTCAGACCAAACAACGTTCATGTTGTAGCTTGGCTAAAATCAGACAGGAGGAAATGATGTCATTTCCATCCATCTGCGTCTGAACAAGAGACTCAAACTCAGAGCGAACAGTTCATCATGGAAATGAACTGTTCGCTGGTTTTGACCTGCAGAATCATTTCCTGGCTTGTTCTGCTTCATTTCCTACAACAGAGTCTAAATCTTTCCATGTTTCTGGTGTTCAGTGAAACATTGATGCTTTATTTAGTGTTTCTGCAGCATGAATGTTTCCACCTGGAGAAACTCAAAGGAGACGCTCCAGATGTTTTAAAGAGATCTGGTTCATAAGCAGAAAGGCGTCTCTTCCAGCAGAAAGGATGGAGTGTTTTCTGCTCACCATCGTAGCAGAAGAAGGGCATCAGTGTGGAGCAGCCCAGGTCCTCCCACACGCCGCCGTCGCCCAGCGCCGCCGCCGCGCAGTTCTCCGCGCTGCCGTTAGGTTCTGTCGGCCTCCAGTGGCTGAACGTGACGTTGCTGCCGTCCGCCCACAACCAGGTGTTTCTGTGCAGACCGATCCAGACCGCCTTTTCTCCGGAGGATTGGACTAGGCCCTTCATGTGCTGGAGCTCCGCTGAGCTCCTGACGCTGGCCATGTCGCTGTGATGCTGCCTGCAGAAGCTCTGGGCTGCAGACCAGCTCATCTTTTGGTCCAGAAGGACAAACGAAGCATCGTGTCCTGGAAATGTCCACAGGTTAAAGCCTGCAGGGCAGAAAGCTTTGACCTTTCACCTCCAAAGAATCTCTTTTGAAGATGGAAAAGTTCTGGATTCTTGTTTCTGTTTTTATTTCTATCTCATCAGTTTGTTGGTTTTAAATAAATGCAACAGAGTTTTAGTTGAGCAATATTACAGACATGCAGTTTATTTGAATTTATTTTGTTTAGTCATTAAATCGTCTCTCCAGACGTTTATATTCGGTTCCCATAGCAACCTGATTCCTGTTTTTTTCCTAGTGTTAAAATTCAACACATTTTCCAGAAACTTTTAATCAGATTAAATGTTTCATGAGTGATTTTGTGACCATAAAGGATGTTGCAGCTGTTTTGTCAGCTGCTCATTATTGTTCTGCAGTTTGTTTCAGATCATTTAATTATTGTATTTAATTATTTAATTATTGTATTTAATTATTTAATTATTGTATTTAATTATTTAATTATTGTATTTTATTTCATGTATCGGAAGCAGAAGCTGCTGCACCAGCATTCATGACATCTGCTGTCATCTCTTGGTTGCCATTCATGAAACCAAGTACAAATGTTCAGCTGGATCCAGTTGAGCTACATATAAATATAAACCTTCAGCTGTTCTGTCCTGGATGCTTCATCCTCACCTTGTACATCACAGCAGATTGGTCTGAAGGTTGATGCACACTCCAAATCAGCAAACTCTCCAGAATACATCAGGACTCCGCAGCTTTCTTTCCCCTGGTAGTTGTTTGGTTCCTCAATTTTCCAGTTCCTGAACGCGGCTTCTCCGTCTCTGTAGAAGTCGGGGTCAGTGATGGACCACGTCCAGCTGTCCAGGTCCTCAGACAAACCGATCCAGGCTCTCTGCAAAAACCCGTGAACTCATGAAGTTCTCATTTATGAAAACAGCTCTGCAGAAAATGCTGCTTTTGTTTTTTATTGTCTTGTTGGACCAGTGCAGGTTTTAGAGCAGATTGTAACAAACGTACCTGTTTGTCGTCTGCGCTGTGGTAGAGCATGGCGTCCAGATCCACCATTTGGGTCAGGAGCGTCACGTCCTCCATGCTGCTGACCGACACCAGGTCCAAGAAGTTCTGTCTGCAGAAACTCTGAGCGTCCGGCCAGCTCATCAACTCATTGACAAAAACAAACACGCGAGGAGGACGAGCCGAGGCGGCGCACAGCACTGCAGCACAAACACAGCAACAGCTGAGACACGGATCTGCATCCTGGCATGGAGCAGGAAAAACTTTCCCTGTTTCAGGCAGAAAAACTGACTAATGATGATGTTACATGGGAACGATCAGCTTTATTGATATTATTTGTGCAGATTTAATGCATGAATATCAGATTTAAGCATTTTTGGGGGTTTTATGAGAAAAATAATCACATTTCTTCCCACAACCCAAAATCCTTTTCTGTAGTTTCACAGGTTTAGTACTTTTACTCACTTATATTTACTCGAGTAACTTTTTAGACAAACTGTAATTTTAGGAGAAGTTTTAAAACTTTTTTATTTGAATGATATTCTAATATCAAAGTGAGACCTCTTGTTTGAACACAATCTTTGTAGTTTTGCTGTTAGTTTCTATTTATTTCAAGGTCATAAAAATAAAGTAATAACTACATATAGTTACCAGAAGAATTTTATATTTACATATTGTAACAATTTAATATATTTTATACTAAAAATACAAACAATAAAATGTTTTTTCTGCTTTAAATTGTTTTGTAATATTTGTATTGTTTTTTTTTACTTTATTGTTTTTGTCTGTTGGAAAATCTCATTTTTAAATATGAAAGCAGATTTTTAGTGTTTTTTCCAGACACTTTTTGAGCATCGTTTCGGGAGCTGCGTCTTCGTCTGATCTGATCTGATCTTTATTCAGACGTTAAAATTCAAACCGTTTGCTTTGAATTTTCAGGATTATTTTATCAGATATCAGCGACTGGTTCTCAGATTCTTCTGCCTCTGAACACAAATAACTGCACATAATGTTTTAAACAATTACATTTAGTACATGAGGTGCATTAAATGAATGAATCAGTGTATCATCAGAACTGGTAATAATCTCAATAATTATTCCCAGGGTGCAACAGGAGCATAAAATCATGAGATAATCTGAGACACTCACAGGAAGCAGCTGTGATGAAGTGAAGCGTTTCCATCCTCCTGAGTTTTTCCCCTCGGCTCCGTCAGGCTGCAGCTGCTTATAGTATTTATATCACTGTTGTCACGCTCATGCAAAAAGAGGATGCAAACTCTTCCTATTCTGGGTTTTAATTCTTGATCCATTTAATATACTTCAAAGTATTCAAACTACTTTTATTTACATATTATTTACAAGATGCTTCAGAGTCAGGAAGAATGAAAAACATCTTTAAACCTTTTAGCACAAAATTTACCCCAAAACCATTGGAGCCCATTTATTGTTGTGCAGACAGATGTTTTCATTTGAAGATATTTTAAACTCACTGGTTTGTGTTTGGTGCTTTAGCTTCTTAGCTTCTTAGCTTCTTAGCTTCGTAGCTTCTTAGCTAGCCATTCCCACCATAGATATTTTTATAAGTTGCACTTTTAGATGTTTTTAATAACTTATGTTTCATCTGCTGCCTGTTTAGCTCAGAAATATTCTCTACATGAAGCTTCAATCTCTAAAAGGAAGAGAAAACAATGCTTGGTTTGCATCGGCCATGTTTTATTCATCCATTCATCTATTCAGACGCTCAGACTCCTGCCTTCTATCTAACAGCACAAAAACAAATTATGATCATCACATCACAAATGTAAGCTCCAGGCCTCCAGGCCTCCAGGCCACCAGGCCTCCAGGCCTCCAGGCCTCCAGGCCTCCAGGCCTCCAGGCCTCCAGGCCTCCAGGCCTCCAGGCCTCCAGGCCTCCAGGCCACCAGGCCTCCAGGCCTCCAGGCCTCCAGGCCACCAGGCCTCCAGGCCTCCAGGCCTCCAGGCCTCCAGGCCTCCAGGCCTCCAGGCCTCCAGGCCCAGCTCAGCGTTGCTCCTGGTGGAAGATTTGTCCTCCTGATGTTTCCCTCCAGCTCAGCTTGACGTTTTCTCTGCTGGCCTTCAGCTTCTGTTCAAACTGAGACGCAACAATCAAATAATAACCAGGGAAAAACTTCAATCAGATTACTTGGATTACTGATTAATTGATCTGGAAAGTCACTAAGTCACATTAAGAGAAACTTTTTTAGTTACTTTCAGCAGCAACGCTCCACCAGCCGTGAAAATGGCTTTGATCTTTATTGATCTTTGCCAATAATTAATCGTCCCACAGAAACAAACTCAACAGGTAGAGGAAATAAAATTAAATTACAAAACAAAACAACAGTACAAAGCGATCTGGATCAGTAACTGACGACTGGATTTGGAAAAGATTACTGGTTTCTGAAAACGGGTCATCACTGCCCAGATCTGCTGCGTTTCGCTGAGTTTTCTTCACACATCATGCAACATGTAGTGACATTTTTTCTCAACCAGGTGGACGTCCTGCTGTCTCCTGGACACATTTGTTTCCAGGAATCACTGAATTGATGGAAAACACTCATTTTCCTGCAGCTTTGCTGAAAAACTTGTACGGGGTTCTATTTGTGCCACCATGCAGCGAGTCTGACATCTATCTGTGTGAGGAAACAGTCATTTCTAAATCTCATGTTTGCTCTATGTATGGGATGCTAATGAGATCAAAAAGGCACAAAATATCTAATCAAAATACAAACAGATTTTTGCACCATCAGGAAAGTAATGAGTCCCAAAACATAGTATTGTATTTTGTTCAAGAACTTTTCAGCTCTATGGAAATTATTTTTGAAAAACCACAATGGAAACATTATTTTTGCGTCGCAGGAGTCACATGACGAACAACCAGAGGATACTACTGGAGGAAAATACAAAGAGGATGAGGACAGGAAGTGGTAGGAGGATCGAGGAGAGGTTTGGTTTCTAATGATTTACTGCATCAAACAAACTTAAAGTGGTTTTCATTTCATTTCTTATTTTATGGAAACATTATAATTGCAAATTTGTGTTTTTTCCACATAATATTGAATTTGGACAAAGTTCTGAGATCATTTGTAACGGAAACGCAGCGAGTCGCAGACTGTCTGCTGTTTTTCTATGTTCCTTAAATAATTCCACTCAGACACTCCTCAGTATTTTCATGCTGTGGTTTTGCCTTTGCTGTTTGGTTATTCTTAATTTAATTAAATCTCGCTCTGGTTGTCAGTTTTGAGTTTTTTCCTGGGTGGAGCGTTGCAGCAGATTTCCGTCCCGACCCAGAAGCCGTACCTGCTGCAGCAGGTCCGCCAGCACCGCCGGGTCGCTCAGGTCCAGAGAGGAAGACGTCACCAGCTTCACCTTCACCACCTGCTGTGAACCTGGAACTTTAACAAACAAACTGGAGTCACGACTTCCTCTGCTCCACATGAAGAGGAAACCCTGTGGCGCTCCCTGTGCCGGAGCGCCACAGGGAGGACGACTCGGATCACTTTTCTTTGCATTATTTTTACTTCAGTTTGTTTCTTTTCTTCAGTAAATCTCAGCTTCCTTCATAACCGGCTTGTTTATGGCAGCCTGGTTACCTGCAGGTCGGTTTCCACCTCTGGAAGGTGAATAAAACCCATAAATCGCCACGTTTGTGTTTCAACTGGAGGAATTTATGAAATGAGGCTTTAAGGTTCTGCTGAGCCGCTTCGGTCCTGACAGAAAATATTCAGATATTTCACAGAAGAGGAAAGTTAATCTGTTTCCGATTCTGTGGCGACTATGTTTGCTTTAGATTGGTTTGAGGATTTGATGTCTGTGACTTTTAGAGAAGCAGACGGATCCACGGCGACCGTCCACACGGCGACCGTCCAGCCGGGGTCAGCAGGTCAGCTGACGGCTGGACCTTCTGGAATAAAGATTTGCTCTGAACCTTTTCAATATTTTAACTAAATCCTTTTGAAAGTAGTCAGCAGAAACACACAAAATCCTTTTGCTGAGGAAATCTTTGGAATCAAGCCTCACCTGCGTGGCAATAAAAAGGCATTTTCCAGGAGCAAGGCCAGTCCTCCCAGCAGCCGCCGTCTGCAGGAACGGCCGCCGCACAGTTCTCCTCGGACCCGTTTGGTTCCGACGCTTTCCAGTGGCGGAAGGAGGAGTTACTGCCATCCACCCACAGCCAGGAGTTTCTGTATAAACCGATCCAGGCCTGGACCTCTCCTGCTGATTGGACTAGGCCCTTTATCTGCTCGTTCTCTGGCGAGCTCCTCACGCTGGCCAGGTCTGTGTGACGCTCTCTGCAGTAGCTCTGGGCTGCAGGCCAGCTCATCGCCTGGTTGACGAAGGTCAGCGAAACATTGTGCTCTGAAATCATTCAGCAGATAGAATCAGTTTCCTCCCACAGCAGCTGCTGCTCGTCTTCAGAGCGACCAGCAATCAGCTGACCTGCGACCTGCCGACCCTGCACCGCCGCTGATCATATCACTCATCAATTTGGCATTTAAAAATAAATCTGCTTAATGCAAACATTACAGTTTCAAAAACACTTTTCAAGTCACATGAGTCACATGACCTGGTGATGCTTCTGCAGGAAACCCCGAAGAAGAAAAGCACAGGAAGTAACTGAAGGACCTGCATGTCTTTAATCACTTGTCTTGTAATTTTAATCCCATTTCTTACTTTATGGAAATGTTGCTAGACTGAAATTGTGTGGTTTTTTTTTTTTTACGTTGTCAGAATATCAATAAAGTTTCAGATGTTTGTAATGGAAACTCTGAGGCTTCACTCTTCTACAACCAGGCCCTCCATTCAGGGCTTACGCAGGTCAAGGGTCAAGAAAAGGGCAGCTGGCATTTCTGCAGACGCCACACATCCTGGACACGAACTGTTTAGACTTTGACCACCAGGTCGGCGCCACAGAGACAGTTTCTTCTTCTCTTCTGTCCTTCTGATCAACACAATGATCAATAAGCCTGACTGATCAGCTGCTCTGCAAATATGCATATTTTCATGACCATAAACTGTCATTTTTCTTTTCCTTATGTATAAAAACAGAATGACCTTGGAGATCATCCAGGGAACAAATGTGTGGAGAAAACGGAGACGACAGAAGAATCTGGAAGCAAAAACTGAAACTAAATGGCTTGTAAAGCAAAACAAATAAAATACAAATTCTGGAAAAATCTAAGGTCCAGAGGAGAATCTAAAACAACACGAGGAACCAGAGAAACCAGAGGAACCAGAAGAACCAGAGAAACCAGAGGAACCAGAAGAACCAGAGAAACCAGAGGAACCAGAAGAACCAGAGAAACCAGAGGAACCAGAAGAACCAGAGGAACCAGAGAAACAAGAGGAACCAGAGGAACTAGAGGAACCAGAGGAACCAAAGAAACCAAAGAAACCAGAGGAACCAGAGGAACCAGAAGAACCAGAGGAACTAGAGGAACCAGAGGAACCAAAGAAACCAAAGAAACCAGAGGAACCAGAGAAACAAAGATTAATACGAGAAGCAACATTTTTCCTCTTGTTGTTTGAGGAACTGCTAGATTTCCTGTTGAATAATAAAATAACAAATCTGACCTTCATTTCGATACAAGCTCAGAGGAAAGGTCAAGGTTCATGTGTTGTTCAGCTGTGATCCGTTCTCACCTCGCACGTCGTGGCAGATTGCTTTGGCCAACATCTGGCAGGGATTGTCGTTCCACAAGCCGTTGTCCCACATCCCGACGCAGCTTTCTTTCCCCTGGTAGTTGTTTGGTTCCCCAATGTTCCAGTTCCTGAACGCGGCTTCTCCGTCTCTGTAGAAGTCGGGGTCAGTGATGGACCACGTCCAGCTGTCCAGGTCCTCAGACAAACCGATCCAGGCTCTCTGCAAAAAACACGTCATATGAGTGAAAACTGCACAGCTTTAACATTTCACCAAAGAATCTGTGGAAACCTTGGAACTGCGGTCAGAATGAGCAGCTGTGCATTTTCAGACCTACATGTTTGAAACTTGCGTCCATGTAGAGCATGGCGTCCAGATCCACCATTTGGGTCAGGAGCGTCACGTCCTCCATGCTGCTGACCGACGCCAGGTCCAAGAAGTTCTGTCTGCAGAAACTCTGAGCGTCCGGCCAGCTCATCAACTCATTGACAAAAACAAACACGCGAGGAGGACGAGCCGAGGCGGCGCACAGCACTGCAGCACAAACACAGCAACACAAACACAGCAGCACAAACACAGCAACACTCATTTCATCTGCAGCTCATCATCAGCCCAGTTGGAACAGAGTAAACTTCATGATTTTCAAAAACTCCCACGTTTTATATCCACAGACATTGAATATAATGTCTGTGTTTTAAGTCTGAAGCATTAAAACAGATTTCTGCACTTTATGAACAAAGTGCAACATTTGCAAAACTCAACTTTGGTTCGAATGATTCAGGTGATGATGATATAAATCATCAGAGTGTCTGTCAGGTGGAAATGCTTCACAGTCAGACAAACATCATGCAGCAACATGATGCTGCAAACTGTAAAACTCAAACACAAAAGATCCAACAGAAAAACACTGGAAACCAAAAAACCCAGAAAACAGCAGCAAAAAGCTGCAACTAAAAAGGTTTTCAGTGTTGAACGTTTTTTCTTTTCATTTGCGTTTGTTCAGTTGATTGTAGGATTTTCTGTTGAAGTTTTTTGGTACTTTGAATCATTCATAAGTTTATGGAGCCATTTTTACCTGTCAGCCACAGTTAGTGACGATTCCACTGAAACTGGTCCAATACTGAGTACAACTGAAGCCATTCGGTCAAACCGGTTTTGGTGAAACCAATCCCATACTTTGTGCAAAATTTGCCTCTTCAGTCTAAAAGAACTATTTTAACTCAAATTTAGTATTTACCAGCAGCAGGAAATCATACAAACTATGTGAAAATGTAGCAAACTAAAAAAAAGAAAAGAGTAATAAACCTGTCTTTGTTTAGTTCTGCCTGCTTTGGGCATTTCGTCCTGACGCGTCACACACTCACCAGATATTTTGTCTAACTGCATTATTTCAATGGCTGAAGTATTGAAAGTATCAATACTTGGATTAGAGAATTGATCTTAAAGCATGAAGGTATCGGAAGGCAGAAGCATCAATATTTCAGTACCAATCTGCACATAACTGCTCACAATAGTGTAAACAGCCATACAACAAATAAAACAATAGTCAATCTTTGAGTTTCTTTTGTGAAAGTCAAATTGAAACCAACACATCTGCATCCTCCTAACTATTATTATATCATAAAATATGTAAATTGAGCATTTTCTATGTTAATCAGAGTTTGTCATAAGTTGCTTTTATCAGCAGAGCAATAAAACGTTATGAAAGTCTTTTTGTAACAGGTTTAGATATTGGCCTGTTGACCCGACAGCGGTAAAAACAAAGCAGGCGAAGCCTTACATGATGCAGCGGTGAGGAAGTGAAGCGCGTCCATCATCTCTGCTGCTGCAGCCGACTGCAGACCTGCAGCTGCTTATTGTTGTACTTATGATTCTGTTGTCACGGACATGCAAACAGCCATACAAACTATTTGCATTTTTTGCTGAATACCTGAACCATTCATGAAACTTCATACTATTCAAACCAGAGTCATTTACATCCTATTTTACACTCATTTCCCTCAAGACGCTGCAAAGTCACTGAAGACAAAAATGTTTTCATTTCAGGGGAAAATATTTCTCTGAACAAACCTGGTCAGATGTACAGATTCAACCCCTAAAGCTGAAAACTGAAACATCAGAACCTTTTTAGTTTGGGTTTCTTTCAGCTCAAACTGCCTGTTTAAGGACATCAAACAGTTACTCTCCTGTCCTTTGACTACGCCATATTCAAATCATCTGAGCCCGAGATTCAATTAGTGCCAGATTGATTAATTTATTTAATCTATGAAGAGAAAACACCTCGATGGCGGAACCATTAATCCCAAAAGGATTCGTACTCCTGTAGATTCAGATCTCAGTATTTTTATTCAACCGATGAGACTGAGACCCTTCAGATGAAAATAATAACAATAATAATAATAAGCTCCAGTATCTTGGTTCAAAATTACTTGTAAGTTGGCTTCTTTGGAGTTTTAAGATGATTTTGCAGCAGAAATGCTTCAGATCCAAACAGAATCCAGTTTTTTGGAGCTGAAAAGCTTCCAGCTTTTGGCTTTAAGTCAAAATCATCCAGATTATTGGCAGTTCAAAGGGTTTTATATGATTGTTTTTCTTCTCACAATAAACTAAAAGTATTCACATCCTGGCATTATTGCACTCTTTAAAACATGACAATAAATAGTAAATTGCTTTGTTCATTACACAATTTGCACACATTGCACAAGAAGCCATTTTGGATCTGACTTTGCTAATTCAATAACTGTACAGAAATATGTCTGACATGCTGTGAATGTAATTCTTGGGCAACTTTTTACAGTAAATGTTTAAATATTGGAATCTTAAGAAGAAGGATTGTCTGGTCTGGAAATGATTTGTATGGAAACACCAGAAGCTGTTATACCAACATCTGCCACTAGAGGGCAGGAGAAATGCAATTTATCAATGCAATTGTTCTTTTGTTTTTTTTTTTTTGTAAAAAAAAAAGAGTAAACAAGAACAACAAAGAAACAACAACAAAGGGCTTCATAGAACATGTTTCTGCTTTTTCATGAGTTCAAAAAAAAAAACAGCAGGGAGGAAACACATCAAGAGCTTTGTGTTGAAATAACTAAAACGTTTTTTTGCATCATATCAAACAAACTGAAAACTCTGATTAAATGTGTTTTAACACAAAACCAGCAGGAAAACATGAGCAGAGATAGTAGATGGATTATTCAAAGAGTGACGCCTCACTGATGTACAAATCTGTTTCATGAAGTGCAGTGTGAGTGGAGAGGCAGATGCAGAAAACTCAGGACGGAGTGAGATGAAAAGATGCGTTTAATGTCCAGGAACCAGGAAGCAAGAACCAGGAAGCAAGAACCAGGAAGCAAGAACCAGGAAGCAAGAACCAGGAAGCAGAGCAGAGCAGCAGGCTGAAGCTCAAAGCTGATAGCATCAGGTCAAAGAATGGACAGCAAGACAGACACGACACATAGGACCCTAACCCTGACAGAGACACAGAGACGGAGACACAGAGACACAGAGACACGGAGACACGGAGACACAGAGACATGAAGACACGGAGACAGGGAGACACAGAGACACGGAGACACAGAGACACAAAGACATGGAGACATGAAGACACGGAGACACAGAGACACAAAGACATGGGACACAGAGACATGAAGACACAGAGACACAGAGACACAGAGACACAGAGACACAGAGACACAGAGACACAGAGACACAGAGACAGAGACACAGAGACACAGAGACACAGAGACACAGAGACACAGAGACAGAGAGACACAGAGACACAGAGACACGAAGACACGGAGACACAGAGACACAGAGACACAGAGACACGGAGACACAGAGACACAGAGACACGGAGACACGGAGACACAGAGACACGGAGACACGGAGACACAGAGACACGAAGACACGGAGACACAGAGACACAAAGACACGGAGACACAGAGACACGGAGACACAGAGACAAGGAGACACAAAGACACAAAGACACGGAGACACAAAGACACGAAGACACAGAGACACGGAGACACAGAGACACAAAGACACGGAGACACGAAGACACGGAGACACAGAGACATGAAATACACAGGAGGTCATCATGGAACGAGACACGCCTGGGGTCAATCAAGGGGAGGATAGGACAAACATGGAGACTCAAAATAAACTCAGAAAAACTCAAACCATGACAGTAACTGTAATTTATAAGATACAGCAAAAGTTTAACCAAAAACAAGATGATTAAGATCAAGAGACAGTTTTCTCTCTGGCTTTTCTCTGATTCTGCTGCTCCGTCTCCAGGTGACCCACTGGATCTGCCAGCTTCTGCCAGAACCGCTGATTTGGTAAAAAGTCTATTACTGATCAAACAATCGTTTAATATTTTTAAATTACATCGTCAGACAGACTAAGGTGTAATTACCAGTAATTACTATAAGCAATTATGATAATTATTCAAAGCCATGAAGCATAAAGGCAAGAAATGAGTATTAAAATGAAACGGAGATTCATTTATTCCACAAACAGCTTTTTATTGTAAAGCTTTCGATCTTTAATGAAACGACAGGAAAAAACTGTTTATTCATGAGTTTATTTGACTTTATTTATCCGTGTCTTCCAGCAGCGACGCCATCGAGGCCTGACGTCCTGGAGGAAGTGACATCACCAGTGAGAAGGTCACAAGGTCACCTTCAAGTTAGGCTTTTTTAGCACAGATGAAGTAATTATTTCTGCTGCAGCCTTCATCGTTGATGTATTGTTGAGATCCTGGAAAGATCAGAAACAATCAATAATCAATTCTTCTCATCAGATTAACTGGAATTATGAAGTATTTTCTGCAGAAAGTCATTTTTAAATGTCTGTTCCTGCAGAAAGAGGCAGTTTGTGAACTTTCACCTTTCAGGTTGATCTCCATGCAGTTTTCTCTGCCACCTCCGTTCGGTTCCCCGCTGCCCCACCGCCAGTAGTTGAACGTGACCCGTCGCTCCACATCCACACACTCTCCTGAAAGGAAGACGCTGTTTTCAGCTTCAGTCTGATGCAGAACCTCAGACCCAGCAGGTGCAGACGCACCATTGGAAACGTTTTAATCCAGTTTAAACTCTGTTTAAACTGGATTAAAGCTCCATATTTGGAAGCGTGGTTAAAACGTCAGAGCCAAACGTGAACAACGGACCCTGACGGCGTCATGGCCTCCGATCCAGGTTCTCTCCCAGGATCCTTTCTTGGTTCTGACCAGGTCCTTCAGGAAGATGTACTCATAGTAACTGTGGAAGGAGGCCAGGTTTGCACCGAGTGCTGTGCAGTAACGCTGGAAGGAACAGAAAGCACAAAACGCAACAGAAAGGCTCAAAAGAGACAAACTGCAGGACTAAAACATAAAACCCAGATGGAGGATTTGTTTCTGGTTCTGGTTGTGCTGGAGGATTCCTCCTGTTAAAGGTTTTTCCTCTCCACTGTTGCTACATGCATGATCTGTATTTGATTTGAATTAGTTCTACATAAATAAACTGAATTAAATAAATGCAATCAGATGGTAATTTCAGATTACAGATAAAATCCATAAACTTTAGAAATTGCAAACTGTGATTATCAGATAAAACAAAAAGTGAAATAATAAAGAAAAACTGACAGATTTAAAACATGCAGCATGGACAGCTTTTTAGTTAGTTTCTGCTGTTTCTCTACCTCGGCGTTCGCCCAGTCAGCTCGGTAATTACAAAAGTAGAAACAGCGACTTCCATACTGAGTCCAACCACCAGGGCAACCTGTGAAACACAGCAGAACCCAAACAAGATCCGGACTTAATCTGGAACGAGTCCAGAAATGTAATAAATGTGTTATTAAACGGGACAGAAAGGCAGCAGCTCAGAAACACCAAAACAGACACAATTCAGACAAACCTTTAAAGAGTTAGTTTTCTGTCAGGTTGAAATACTTACAGTCACCCTGTGAACAGAGAGAGGAAATGATTCATAAATACATGCAGCTGTTCAACAAACAACGAGCTCAAAACATCCAAAACAATGAAATATTAGCAAGAATGTCATTATACTGGTCAAAACTTATATCTTATTTAAATTCATCAGAGTTAAAAATTTCAAACCTGTATTTTCTGTAGTTTTACGATTAAAAACCTAAAACTCAACATCTCAGCAAATTACAATGTATAAAAATATTCTGTAAAATATTCTATATATCTGTATATATGGACATTATGGACAATATGGTCTGCATAACCACTGGCATAAGGAGAAGAAAGGTCATCGCTGAAGAAGCTTTACATCCAACCATGTTTGTTAAAAGTTGAGTGGAAGGAGAAAGTGCAGGGATAAGCACAGGTTTGAGGGGATTGTCAAGCAAAATTATGAGTTTTGAGTTTTTCAGCCAAGAAATGTATGAGAAATAAAGGCTTGAATCACGAGGATCTTTCAGAGGCTGAAACTGTGAAGATGACAACATCATCAGACGATGACAGACTTACAGTCGTCCAGAACGCGAAGCTCAGACCGATGAGAAAGATGACATGAAGAACTGAAGCCATCTGCAGAAAGAATCACCGGAGAAATGAGGCTTTGTCACTTTACAGCCAAAAACTCTCAGTTATTATATTAATGTGACAGAGGCGAGGCAAGTAAAGCTTCATCTGCAGCACAGAAACCTCAGGTTGGATGTTATTGATCACTGGAAACAAAACATGCAAAGACAGCAACTACATTTCCAAAAGTTCAGAGAAAATCATTATCGTATTATTATGATATCCAGAAAAACCTGGCTGACACGCGGCAGCTCAGCTCAGCGAGGAAGAGGAAGAGCTCAGCGAGGAAGAGGAAGAGCTCAACGTTACCGTTCTTTGGGTTGTGAGCAGTGAAGTCGTCTCAGCAGCAGGACCTGGAACCAGGATGATCAGGGATGGAAGTGCAGACTTTAAATACCCTCACTGGGTGTGTGACCATCATCTGTCAACACTGATAGGGCAAATAATTAATATTTCCATTTCATGAACATGTACAAATACAAAAGTATCAGCTAACATGATGAAACTCCCACAGTCAACAAGCTGCTGTTGGTTGAAGTCTCATGTTGTAACTGTTTTACACGCAAAGTTACTGCAAAATGTTCTATGTTTAATTTTGACCTGCTGGCATTTTGTTCTGTATAAATATCAATAAAATATGGAACAAAATAAGTTATAAATGAATCTGCTGTCAGATTTACACATTATATTATCAACTTTCACTGTTTATTTCAAAGTTTAAGTTTTCATTTCATTTATAGAAATGACAGATATGATTATGACATTTTTAGCCAAGAATGGTTGGAAATGTGTATTTTGGGTTAATTCTGCATTCAATAAATCCATTACTATCTGCTATTGTAGTGGCAGATTTTGTTCTTGATGTGCTTCAATTCTTCATAATCATCAATCTGTCTGGATTTGAGTTTTCTGTTTATTTTGAGTTTCTGAGTTTGAGTTCTCCATGTTGTCCTGTCTCCCGTCCATTGTTCCCAGCTGGGTCTTGTTCTGTAATTACCCTCTGTGTAATACTCCACAGTCTGTATTTATGGAAATGTTGTTAAAGACTGACAGGGCAGTCTGTGGTAACCATGGATGGATGGATGGATGGATGGATGGATGGATGGATGATGGATGGATGGATGGATGGATGGATGGATGATGGATGGATGGATGGATGGATGGACGGATGGATGGATGGATGATGGATGGATGATGGATGGATGGATGGATGGATGGATGGATGGATGGATGGATGATGGATGGATGATGGATGGATGGATGGATGATGGATGGATGGATGGATGATGAAGATCTGCAATCTTCATCATCATCTGCAGTCTTCATCATCATCTGCAATCTTCATCATCATCTGCAATCTTCATCATCATCTGCAATCTTCATCATCATCTGCAGTCTTCATCATCTGCAATCTTTTGCCCGGGGCGAGCTGGTCCTGACAGGAACCCGGGTGTGAGACAGACGGATCATCTGACACCAGATATCAGCTTTCATCCAGAGCCGTGTCCACATCCAGTCCCAACTCATTCATAAAGCTCATTTAAAACACAAGTTTAGCCAAAGTGCTGTACAGTCAGAAGATCAGCAACAAACATTCATGAAATAGAGACTTTGCAAAGATCATGTCAGCTGACACAAATCAAAGATCATTGTGAAGACATAAATGTCAGGTTCTGTGTTTTTCTGTGTTTAATTCTGAGTTTCTGTGTCCTGAGTCTCCTCCTTGTCCTGTCTTCCCCTTGATTGTTCCCAGGTGTGTCTCGTTCCCCTGATTACCCTCAGTGTATTTAGTCCCTCCTGTGTCCTTTGTTTCTCGTCGGGTCCTTCTGTCATGGAGTGGTGGTGGAGGTGAGTTGGTGAGGCAGCACGCTGGAGACCCAGGTAAGTGAATAGTGAATAATTTTAATGAAACAGTCCAGAAAAACAGTCCAAACAATAGTCTGCGGCCAGGCAGCACGGCTGAGCAGAAGCCAGGGCTCACAATGGTAGCAACTGGTCTTAAGGGCGGCACAAAACAAACTAGCGACAAACAAGGACCCGACCAGGAACAAAGGACACAGGAGGGACTAAATACACTGAGGGTAATCAGGGGAACGAGACACACCTGGGAACAATCAAGGGGAAGACAGGACAAGGAGGAGACTCAGGACACAGAAACTCAGAATTAAACACAGAAAAACACAGAACCTGACATGATCGACTTTTACTGCTACTATCTAAAACCATTTATTTGTGCCAAGAATCTCTGAAGCCTGCAACAATCTGCTGCATAATCTTTCCATCTCTGCTCAGTTATTAATGCATTTCCTTCAATAATGATTGATTTTTGGTGGGTTTTTCATGTTTAGCATTTTGAAAGAAGTAACAAAAGCAAAGTTTAACAGTTCTGCTACTACATTTTCTCTTTGCTTCGTCTCTAGTCCCTGTTTCTTCTCTTTGCATTTTAAAGTTTGACCAATGTGGTCAGGTTACATTCCAGTGACAGGAAATGTGAAGAACAATCTGTAGGTGTTTATCAGACGTCTGTTACAAAAGAATTTCCACAAAAAATAAAAATCAGAAACTGATGCTCTCACTTTACCACAGCAATAATGAGCTTTCCGACAGGTGAAAATGGAGAAATACATTGCAAACACTTGAATGATTCAAACTCCAAAACCACAGAATGTGAAATTCCTCTGGGAATTTCTATAGACCTGTTGGAGAGTCGACTGACAAATCCTCATGACTTAAAGCGACGTCTGGTGGAAAGGTGGAGGAAGAAAAGGTACGTAATGATTCAAGTCTTTTCTAAACATGCAGCATTTTGAAACAGGAGCATGTTTATAAAGGTAATGCCTCCCTCTATAAATTCTTTTTGTTATTTCTTTTTCCCTTTTTCCTGTTCCTTGGTTTTTCTTTCTATTTTCTTTATTTTACTTTCTTTTTTTTTCTAACTCTTTCTCTGCCAACACTGATAATGTTCTGCACTAGTAAATAAAAAACCTATAAACATCATAACAATAACCTTAAACAATATTTGTGTCATTTTTACTGTCTGTTTATGAACCAAACCTTCATCCATAGCCCAGTCTAAACGGGGACAGCGCCCCCTGCTGGACGCAGTTAATCTGCACCATGTAAACCAGTTTCATTGATGCAATAAACGTTTTTAATCTAACAGTAAAAATCATATCATTATTAATGTTTGTGACGGGTCGGATCGGGTCCCACAAGTTTGTTGACAGAGTGAAGGGAGGACAGAAGCAGTTCTGGATGAAATCTGATATTCAAAAAGACAGTCAGACACACCCTGGAGATCGGCCTATCCAAAGTAAACAGGCCCTGATGAGTCAGCAGTTTGCTGGAATTAAAAATTATAATGAGGTCAGAGTCGATTAGTTTGACTCTTGAAAAGCTTCGATTCAAACAGCTTAAAGTCATTAAAATGGTTAAACTGAGAGGCTCCAGTTATGTCTGATCCTGGGTTGTTGGTTCAATTCCTTTATGCTTTTGTTGAGTTAGTAAATACTTTTATTCATCTACTTTCTTCACGTCTAAAACGTTCGGTCAGCAGATTGTTGAGCTGAACCAAAAATTATTAAAGGGAAATTATTTATGGGAAAATCTCTGGATATGCAAAAACACATTAAATTTAATAAACAATAATTAAAATATATATATATATATATATAAAGAAACACACCCAACATGTGTTTGAGGTCTGCTGGGGTTCAGTGACTGAAGCTCAGCTTGCATTAGTTCTATTTTATCACAAAGAATGAAAGTATCTCTAAATATGAGAGTTTAACCCGGAAACATTCGGGAACATTTGGAAACATGATGACGGCTGCGCATGTGGATCCGATGGCTGTTTGCTGCTTTGCCTCTGTTGTTCTAAGGATCAAATGATGGAAGATCAACAGAAGACAGATCAGATGAAACAGGAAGCCCAACCCTGAAGGCAGCTTCCTGGACAGGAACCAAATCCAGTTGCAACAATTCTGCTCCCAATAAACCAAGAAAATAATTCTGTTTGACTTTAAAGCTCTTCAATCCAAATGAAGTTTAATAAAGTCATTCATTCATATTTATGGATCTCAGAAATGAGAGGGAAAAAGTTTCCAGAAATTTATGAAGCGATTGATCATCTTACCTAAAAAAACACACAAGCAGCAACATGCAGAGAACAGCAGCAGAACTAAAACTTTAAACGTTTGAGCTGCCAGATTCTGCAGACTTCACACAATCAGCCTGGAACATGAGCAGCTTTATCTGAATAAAACAGGAGGGCCCGGTGGGTCCGGTGGGTCCAGGAGGGTCCGGTGGGCCAGGTGGGTCCAGGAGGGTCCAGGAGGGTCCAGGAGGGTCCAGGAGGGTCCAGGAGGGTCCGGTGGGTCCAGGAGGGCCCGGTGGGGCCGGCATCGGTTCAGCAGGTCAATGTTCTCCTTCTAATGAGCGTCTTTGGGTCCAGGTGTGGAACCAGGGAGAGACTGAACCGTGCAGGATGCCGGGCCTCCAGGACCCACTTTGGGCCCCACTGCATTAGAGTGGAGAGACTGTAGTGTTGCCTTCACCATCACTGACTCAATGCAAGTGTGACGACACAACATCATGGCTGTTAAAGGTCAGAGTTCACCCTTTTCAACACTAACAGTGTAATGTTGAGCATCCGGGTTCTGGACCAAGTTCTGGAAGAATCTCACCGACGCCATTTTCTTTTTGCTCTTTCTGCATTTGATCAATGCACAGCTGGTAGATTCTTAGTAGCTTCTTACACAATATTGCAGCATCTTATTGGTTTCATGTTTTACCCAATCAAATAACAGATATACTGTCTCCAGATTCTGTCAGTGAGCTTCTGGTTTCCTATAAATATCATCTCAACATTTGGGACATGGTATTTATTCTCTGCTCTCAGATGTTGAGGCAACATTTCAGGAGCAGTTTCAGGATTTTGATGTTGATCTGATGCCCACAGATTCAGTTGTTGGACTTTGTGTCCTGGGCTGCACAGAGACGCAGCAGGTAGCAGCAAGAAGGTCCTGGGTTCTGGGTTCGATTCCCGGCCCGGAGTCTTTCTGCACGGTTCTGCATGTTCTCCCTGTGGCTGGTGGTTCTCTCTCCAGGTTCTCCAGGTTTT